AAGACTTGCCTGCTGTTGAGTCTGGGTTATTGAGCACGCAGCACTTAGTTGTTGAGGCAGAAATGAATTCCCACTATCCACATCGTGTCTGAATCACCCTCTGTGAAGACATCCTGGGCACAGTAGGGGTTAACAGCATCCCTGGCCCCACCCACTCAATAGCAGCAGCACAGCCACTTGTGACAGTCACAAATGTCCTCAGACATTACCCAGTGTCCCCACCCTAATGTCACTTTCTCTTTCTTCTGTCTGTGAGAGGGGGAACCACACTCAGCAGATGAGGGTGAATAAAGGGTCAAGGTCAGCACAGGTGCCTGGCCCTGGCTAACCTTGCTGGCAACTGAGAAAAATCAGACCACCTGTGGGGAATACTCTCCGCTAAGAGAGGAAAGTCTGTAATCAGGGACGGCTTCTTGGAGGTGGTGAGAGATGAGACGTTAGGAAGTGACAGCAGAGGTCCTGGGAAGGGCATGTCAAGGATGGAGGGTCCATGCCTGGGTCCAGCTGGTATCAGTGTGGCAAAGTTAGGCATCTGGACTTGTGAGTGGGTAGAGGAGGCCGGGGATCTCACTATGACTTTAACAAAATGATTCCCAGACTGTAGTAAACTGAATAATAGCCCCCAAAGATATCTCCCCCTAATTTGTGGGACTTGTGGACGTGTCACCTCATGTGGCAGAGGGACATTGCAGGTGGGATTAAGTCATGGCTCCTGAGATGGGGATGACCCTGGATTACCAGGGGCCCTGTGTCATCAGAGGTTCTCACAAGAGAGTGACAGGGGCTTCTGAGTCGGAGATGGAGCAGGCAGCTGTGTTGGTTGTGAAGATGGAGGGAGGGGCCATGAGCCAGGGATGTGGTGTCAGGAGAAGCTGGAAAAAACAGGAAATGGTTCTGCCCTGGAGCCTCTGGGAGGTCCAGCCCTGCCCACGTGTGGGTTAGCCCACGAGGCCCCCGTGTGGAATTCCTGACCCAGGACTTTGAAATGATAAATGGCCGTTATAAGCCACTAAATTCATGGTGATTTCTCACAGCAGCCACAGGACATTCATACATGGGGTGATGGAAGTATGTCCCTGGATGGGTGACATTTGGTGTGTGCATTTGACAAAACCCATCCGACAGTACAACTAAGACTTTATTTTTCATTCAATGTAAACTTCACACACAAAAAATAAATTTCACATAAACATGAAAGCCACAGGCATGTTCTGACTGATACCCAGCATACGGTGTGCGTGCCGAAGTGGTTCCATGCCTGCAACTGACTTCGAAATGTGACCGTGAAAGCGAGCTGGGCTGGTGAAGCCGTGGACAGGCAGAGGGGGCGGAACAGAACGAGCGAAGCAGAGGATGACCTGTGGCATCCAAGTGGTAGGCATGTGCGCCTTCGCTGTAAAACTCCCTCAGTCTTTCCGTACGCTTGAAAATTTTCATAATAAAATGCTAGAAAGTTAAAATAAAAAAGGATTAATTGGATCAACTTTCCCTGTGTTTATTGTTATTTTCAAGCCTTGCCTCTTCTCCTGACATTTTTCTCAGGAACAAAAACTCTTGAGCAAGCAGCAAGGAAAAAGGGAAGTAAACAGATATGACTAGTTTCAAGTTTTTGCCTATGTATTGATTTTTAGAGAGAGGGGAAGGGAGGTAGAATAAGAGGGAGAGAAACATCGATGTGAGAGGGAAACATCGACTGGTTGCCTCTCCCGTGCCCCGGTCCCAGGGAGAGCCCACAGCCCAAGCGTGCGCCCTGACTGGGAGTCCCAGCGGTGACCTTTCACTTTGCAGATGACACCCAACCAACCGAGCCACACTGGTCAGGGCCAGAACTGACTGGTTTAATATTCGTCGACAGACTGGAGAGAGGCAGGGCCGAGGAAGGCTTCAAACTGCCATGATTTGGCCACAAATCCACATACACACCCGCAGTAGGGGACAAGGTGTCTGCAGCGTTGCCACAGGTCGGCAAAAACACCCGCACCCTGCGGGCTACAGGACAGGCGCCAGGATTAGCAGGGCCTGTTTCAAACTGGTGCCTGGTTTTTTTTCTTCAATTCAATTTATGTATTTTTATGATCCTTAATACATTTTTCAACATTTTTCATTGCTATCTTCCAAATGCTTTTACAGAAGTTTCATTACAGAGAAAAGCGAAGCTCCGTAGGCTGAGCCCACGTACCTGCTCTGCCGCCGTCTGGTTCTTGCCCCACGTGGCCCAGGCCTTTCTTCTCACCTATCATCATTTCTGTGGAGCTTTAATTTCTTTTTTCACTTGAGGGAGAGTGAGAAACATCTATCGGTTGTTCCATGTACTCAGGCATGCATTCATTGCTTCTTATATGTGCCCCGACCAGGGATGGAGCCCGCAACCTCTGTGCATCAGGTGATGCTCTAACGAACGGAACTACCTGGACAGGGCCATTTCTAGAGAGTCTTTGTGTTTTTAAGATTTTATTTATTTATTTTTAGAGAGAGGGAACGGGAGGGAGAAAGGGAGAGAAACATCGATCGGTCGCCTCTTGTGTGTACACTGCATACGTGGTGTGTTGAGATGATGCTCTAACCAACGGAGCTGCCCAGCCAGAGCCAGATGCTGGCATACACTTTATTTCATTTTATTTATTTATTTTAGAGAGCTGGGAAGGGAGGGAGAAAGAGAGGGAGAGACATCAACCAGTTGCCTCTCTCATGCCCCTAACCGGGGACAGAGCCTGCAACCCAGTCATGTGGCCTGACTGGGCATCGAACCAGTGACTTTTTGGTTTGTAGGCCGGTGCTCAATCCACTGAGCCACACCAGCCAGAGCAGCTTGTATATTCTTAATATGAACACACTGCCCCTGAATGTTTAAACCGACAGATGTGATTCCAAATATTTCATATACTACATACTGCATAGGTCTCTTCATGTATAAATGCCAGCTATAATAGTTTCTGTTCTACTTGATTAAAAGTAGGTCTTAATCTAATTTTAACTGAACTAAAAAGTACAACAGTTCAAGAATCTACGATCATAAAGAAACCAAGAATGTACAAAGTACAACCATAAAAGCAAGGAACAATTACCACGATGCAAAATTTGTAATGGAAAACTACATAGAAGTGTAATTTAAAATTACAAACTCAAGCCCTGGCCAATGTGGCTCAGTTGGTTGGAGCCGTTATCCTGTAAACCGAAAGGTTTTGGGTTCAATTCCCATTCAGGGCACATGCCTAGGTTGTGGGTTTGGCATTTCTCTCTTATATCAATCTTTCTCTCTCCCCCTCCCTTTTCCTTTAAGCATGTCCTCTGGTGAGCATTAAAAAATAAAATGGCAAACCTAAATTTAGGTAACACTCAAGATGAAAAAGTCAGCAATAAATTCTACCAGCACAATGCCTGCAAGGATTTAGAAAAGGAAATACAATCTCTGCTGGTATAATGATATTAATCAGATCTTTGGGGTTTTTTTAAAGATTTTATTTATTTTGCCCTGGCTGGCGTAGCTCAGTGGATTGAGCGCAGGCTGCAAACCAAAGTGTCGCAGGTTCGATTCTCAGTCAGGGCACATGCCTGGGTTGCAGGCCACAGCCCCCCAGCAACCGCACACTGATGTTTCTCTCTCTCTCTCTTTCTCCCTCCCTTCCCTCTCTAAAAAATAAATAAATAAAATCTTTAAAAAAAGATTTTATTTATTTTTAGAGAGAGGGGAAGGGAGGGAGAAAGGGGGAGAGAAAGATTGATGTGTGAGAGAAACATCCATTCATTTTCTCTCGCACGCCTAAACTGGAGACCAGCCCACAGCCCAGGCATGTGCCCTGTCTGGGAATCGAACCAGTAACCTTTTGCTCCATGGGATGACACTCAACCGAGCCATGCCATTCAGGGCCATGAATCAGATCTTCAAATTCATGGAACAAGTCATCTGTCTCTGTCTTCCAGCTCAAGAAATTAGCATTGTAACAGTTGCTTTATGAAACCTTTTCTTTCAGTTAAATCATATGCAGGATAATTTTCAAATACCTTTTTGCAAATATGCTTCATTGTAATTTCCTCCAAGCTTGTACTGGCCAATAGTCTCTTTACTATTTCCTTAATTCTGTATATATATTTTAATATCTGTGCTTATACTTTACGTGTGTGTATAGCCAGACACAAAAGGCCACATGGTGTGTGATTCCATGTGTATGGAATGTCCAGAACAGGCAAGTCCACAGAGACAGGAAGGGGGTTAGTGGTTACCAGGGACTGGGGGAGATGGGGGTTTGTAAAGCTAATGCCAATGGGGACAGGGTTTCTTTCTGGGATGATGGAATGTTCTGGAATTATTGTAAATAGAGCTGATGGTGGCAGGACTGTACCAATGTACTAAACACCACTGAGTTTATACACATTCAAAGAGTGAACTGTATAGTGTGTGAATTCTATCTCAATAAAGCTGTTACTTTTTAAAAATGGCAAAATAACTTCCCATGTGGCTGGGCCAGGTGGGGTGGCAGCACGTTTGACGTGTGCACCGGAGACCAGGTGGCACGGTGCAGCCTACAGTTATCCAGTGGTTATTTCATGTGGAGTCATTCAGTTGCCCTCACTGCCCCCCCCTGGAATAAGTGACCCCACTTTCCACATGAGGAAACCGAGGCTTCTGAGCTGGTGCCTCGCCCGGGGCCAGCCAGCAGAGCCAGCCTCTGAGAAGCGCCCCCCCCCATGTCCCTGGGCTCTGTGGGGTGGCACACAGTTGGTACTTCATAAAGGCTTGCTGGCAGAATCCATGACAGAAGGCGAGGGGAACACCCTTTGTGGCACTCTCTCCCCTAGAACCCCTTGTCCTGATGCTCAGAGAGAAGAAGCTACATTCCCAGGGTCAACATGGCCAACCTGATGGTGACTGTATGCTGAAGTGGGGGTGGGTCACTCCCCGGCCAATGCCTCGCCCTCCTGTAAAGAGGTGGGGGAAGGCCCAGCTGGGCCCGGCCTTCCTACCCCTCCTGCTCTGGCCACAGAGCTGATTGGCCCATCCTGCTGCCTCTGGCCACCTGTTGCTGTCTTTCTTGGGGCCACCCTACACCCAGTCCACCAGTCCACCAGGCCCAGCGTGGCGGCTGTGGAGTAAGTGGGGAAGGGGGAGGCCTGTACAGAGATGAGGGTTTCCAGGGGCCTGGGGAGGGCATCTCTGAAGTCCATGGGGGTCCCCAACTTTTGTGGCTGTCCCCTACACACCTAGAGGTGCATACCCTGGCCCACTGGGCTCCCCAACTGCCTTGCTCCAGCCCCTGAGAAGGGTCACCTTTGTGCCCAGGGGTGGGACACATTAACTAACACAGGCAGCCAGAGGCATGGGGGACCCCCAAAAGCAGGGCTTCAGGAAGCCAGCAGACTTGGGTTGGACCTCGAGCTCTGTACCCGCTCTGGCCAATGCCTCTGTCCCCAGCCTCGGTTTCTTCCTCTGTCCTGTGGGAGCAGAGGCGGTGAGAACAGACAGGGACCCCAGTGTTGGGATGGAGAGGCCCCAGGGCCCCCTCACCCTTCCCCTGCCTGTTGTGACTGAAGTGAGGCTGGTCCTGGCAGCTGGAACTTGAGGTCCTAGATTTAGGGGACCAAGGGGGGGGCTGGGTGGCAGGTATGGCAGGTGAGGGTGGTCTAGAGGGGGAACTCATCGGCACGAATGCCTGAAAAGGGGATGGGCCTCATGCTGGTCCCATGGGCCTTGGGCACCGGATAAAAATAGGCCCTGGTCTCAGAGAACACGAGTCAACCCTGGGGCCCAGGGTTCTGGTCTGGGCTTCCTGTCATCTCTCTGTGACTTTGGGTGGGTCCCAGCCCTTTCTGGGCCTCGGCAGCCTCCGCTGTGTGCTCAGGGATGCTGGGTGATGGGGAGGGGCCCAAGGCAGGCCCGGGGAGCTCGGGGAGGGTGCCTAGGACACGCCCTGAGTGAATCTGAATTCTCCATGTGAAGCGGGCTCAAGCGCTGGGGGGAGGCTGAGGCTGGATGATACTTGTACTAAGAGCCCTACCCCCCAGGTCAGGCCCAGGCCCACAGCAGGGGCTCAGTAAATGCAAGATGTCTCTTCCCCATTCCCCCTGCCCCCACAGCTCAAGTCTGGACCTGCTGCTTCTCAGACATCTCCATGACAACCATGGCCTTGGAGGAGCCAGATGGAGGCCTGGGCAGTTGCCAAGCGGGTGAGGACCTCCCTGCACTGGCTGATGCCTGCCCAGGCAGGCCCTGGGAGAACAGGGCTGAGATACCCAAGACACCCTGGGGGGCGGTGCTGGCAGGATGAAGCCTAAGCCCCCATTCTCCGGGAGAGCAAGGGAGCTCACCTGCCGAGACCAGGACTTGGACTCTGACATTGGCTTAAACGGTGCTCCTGTTTCCCACCTCTGGCCCACTGGTTCCCCAGGTGTCTGTAGGGATTGTCCCCAAAAAGGGGCTGAACCACACAGGTCAGTGTTCCGATCTCAGCCTGCCAGGGAAGTGCTATATGCCTTTGAGTGAGGCTGCTTCTGATCCTGTCTGCTTTCCAGTCTGTAAAGTGGGAGCGACCTCCTGCCCCTTGCCTAGCAGAGCCCAGAGGAGGGTGGGATTAGCCTGGGGATCCCCATGACCTGAGTCTTTCTCTTTTCCCACTTAACAGTGCCACCCAGGCTGGCTGACTCCAGCAGCTGGCCCCATGTGAGTAGCCGGTACCCTTGAGTTTCAGCCCAAAACCTCCCTGGAGTCAGGGATACACTGGCCAAGAAGGGTGGTAAGGACTTGGGCTCCCTCAGAGGAAAGACAGGAAGGAAACACCCCGGTGACTGTGACTCCCCACAGAATTCTCAGGAGCCAGAGACTGAGGGGAGCCCTGCAGGCGGAGTGGATATCCAGCCCAAGAAGACAGAAAAGGAGCCTGTGGCCAAAGTGGCCCCAGGACTCAGCAAGGAGAGGCTGAAAGCAGGAGCAAGTCGGTTTGCAAGAGGCAGGAGTGAAGTGGGGGGGGGGGGTATGGACTGACACAGGGAGTAGGTCCTGGGCTGGGTCCTTGGATCTGGGGGTGGGGGGTGGGAGGGAGAGACAGGGTGTTGCAATGTGGGCTTCTGGCTAACTGGTGTCCAGGTGTCACAGGCATAACTAAAAGGTCTGGGAGCCTCTGCTAATTCATGATAACATCAGCTAAGGTGCTATTGCTACTAAGTTTCAGCTAATTATCTAGAATATTCTCAGGATCCCAGTGAAGCTGCCAAACTTAGTTCCCCTGCCCAGGGCCACACAGCCAGGCAGTAGTTTAGGGTGCAGCTCCATCCCTTGGAGCCACACCCAGCCCCACACTTGCTCCCAAAGCCCCGAGGAGCCCAGCACGAAAGAAGGCGCAGGCTGCGCCACCCCCGAAGCCGCTGCCACCTCCACCGGCTCTAAGCGAGGAGCTGCCGTGGGGAGACCTGACGCTCAACAAGTGCCTGGTGCTTGCCTCGCTGGTGGCGTTGCTGGGCTCAGCCTTCCAGCTGTGTCGCGGTGAGCCTGCATCCCCAGGGCAGGGGTCTTATACACCCCTCATGGACAGGCCCATGTCACTCCCCACTCCTGCCTTGCACACCCCTTTACCCCTAGCATGGATCTTGTGTGGGGTCCTCCTCTTCCTCCCCACCTTGTGCACATCCTGTTTAGGTACCACCCTGCACCTCCATGGTCCAGTCTGTGCCCCTCTCTCCAGAATGGCTTTTTAGTGCCCCCTTCCCGTCCTCCCACCCCACGGTGGACCTTGGTGCCCCTCCCTCCCCCGTGATCATACCATCCACCCGCTGTGCACCGGACCTGACACCCTTACAGGCCCAGGATGGGCGGCAGGCTCGCTCTCCCTGCCCAGCCCCACCCCCCTCCCCGCCATTCTGTGGTGCCAGCCTTCCTCCTGCACCAGGGCGCTCCTGCAGCCCGAGGAGAAACATGACCTGTCCCTTTTGTAAGCAGAATGAAGATTTTGAGGGAAGCGACACCCGCAGCAGCAGGGACCCCAAACGCTTTCCAAGAGTTCAGAGGGGTCCAGTCCAGCCTCCCAGTACCCAACAGAGTTGCTCATTCCCTTTGTCTTTCCCTGGGGAGAGGGAGTTTTAGCGGTGAGGGCTGGAGTGGACTGCGTGGTCCGGCTCCTGTCCAGGCTGACTCGCACCCCTCCCGTCCCCTCCAAGACGTCGTGGTTGGGGAGACGGCCGCCCCCGCACCTGTCCCTGAGCCATGGGTCCCGCCAAGCTCGCCACCAAAGAAGCCAGCGTCGCCCCCGGTAAGCGCTTCCTTCAACAACTGTGGGCGGTTGAACACTCATCCAGAGAAAGGGGCCTGGGCCTGTGGGTTTGCGCTGACCCTCTCACCCCGCACTCTGCCCTATGCCCGTTGCAGCTGAAGCCCGTGGCCTCGGCCCCGTCATTGGGACCCTCTGCACCCCAGGTGGAGGCAGAGGAGAAGACTGAGGTTCCCAGGAGAACGGAAGCTGCAGAAAAGGGAGAAGGGGAGTCTGGGGAGGCATCTGGGGAGGAGTGCGCACACCTCGCCCACGGAGGTCCCAAGGAGAGGCTGTGGAAAGAAAGACCACGAAAGGAGAGGCCACGGAAGGAGGAGAGGCCGCGGAAGGAGAGGCCGCGAAAGGAGAGGCCGCGAAAGCCGGAGAAGCCACGAGCCTCAGGGCATGCCCGGGAAGCCCTACCCCGAAGCTGGAAGACACGCGAAGGGGGCCATCGACGCTGGGTGTGGGACTCTGGAGACCCTGAGCACAGAAAAAGTCGGGCCTCGGCCTCCCCGCGGCGCCCCGACGCAGAGGACTGGCCTCTGGGCCGCCAGAAGCACCGCACCGGCAAGGGGCGAGACTGAGCCGGGCCTGGGTCCTGCAGCAGAATCCTGGGACCCCTTCTCTGAAGCCCTCGGTTCTAGCAAAATAAAGCGAGTGCTGCGGCCCCCACATTGCCTGCTTCTTTGCACCTCGACCACCAACAGCCCCAGGGCCTGAATGATGGGGATGGGAGCTTTAGATGGGGGTGGGGTAGTGAAAGGGGCAGGCAGCGGCAACCCGGATGACCCAGTCCTGTGCGCCAGAGAACTGGCGGAAGGAGGTCTCTCCTGCCACCAAACACGCACGGACACCCCAGCCATGTGCTTGTGGTCTTTATTGGGGTGATGCTTGGGGTCTGAATAAATATGGATAGAGGCGCCACTCAGGACGCGGCGCGGGGTTATCGGCAGCCGCACTCGGTTGCCACCATGTTGGGCACGTGGTGCGCGCTAATGCGCTCCTCCGACAGGGTGATGAGCAGCTTGCCCGCGTACGCTGTGGGCACGCAGCAGGGCGGGCGTGCCAGGGTAGCCCCACGGGCTTGCATCTTGAGCAGCAGGACCACGTGGTTACCGTAGTGCGGGTTGCGGTCTGACTGCGGCCAGCCGCAGGAGCCCTGGCAGTTGTTGGCTTGGTATGTCTCCGGGATGAGAACGGAACGCTCAGCACGAAGGTCCACACTCAGCTCTCGAAGTGCGCACGCCCCGTCTGCGGCCCGGGCCCCAGCGCTGCGCTGTGCCCTCGCCGGTCCACTCCACTCCCGCCCACGCCACTCTGTGCGCAGGCCCTGCAGCGCTTTTAGCAGTAGCAGCGCGCGCAGCGGGCCACCGGGACCGCCTGAGTCCCCCGGGTCCCCAGGGCACAGCTCGAGCAGTCGCGCCAACAGCGGTGGGGCGGTGGGCGGCAGCCCTGGGAGGCCGCGCAGCTCAGCGGCAGCTGCCTGCAGTTCTGAGGTCACACGGTGCGCCAGGTCCGCTGCCCAGGGCGAGGACACCGGGCCCTGCGGCGACATGGGGTCCCCGGCAGTGGCAGAGGCAGGCGATAGCAGCAACAGGGGCTCCTCGCCGTCAAGCAGGCGCTCCAGTGCCACGGGGTCCGACAGGTTGACCAGGCTCTGTGGGAAGCCTACCAGCGCGGCAGGGTCTAGGGCCAGGCTCCGCAGCGAGGCTCGGGCTGGGGGACCCCGCAGAGCACGTACCAGGCGCGTGAGGGTCTCCAGGAAGGGGTCGGCGCTGGGCTGTGGCTCCTTAAGCTCCAGGGTTGGACTGGAAGGCAAGGGGTCTGGGTGTGGGCTCAAGGTTAAGCGGTCCCCACCTCCCAGCGTCCCTGGCTGGGCCAGCACACACCTGGGTGAGGGGAAGGGCACAGTATCCTGACGACCCTGCGCAGGCATGGGCGTAGGTTCCGACCGAGGCAACAGGAGCAGGGCTGGGGTCATCCTCGTGAAGCAGCGCGGGTCGGTGCCAAATAGCAGCGCCTGCAGCTGGGCGGTGCTCAGGGAGGTACCTGAGGGGAAAGGCCCAGGCTGAGTCAGGGGCTGAGGCCCAGGGCACCCGGCCCTGCCCACTCCCTCTGGGTCCGGCCTACCGTTTCCACGGTGCTGCAGGGTTAGGACGAGTCCCCGGCCCTGCCAAGCCCCCTCGGGATGGTCCATAGCCAGCGCCAGGTAACTGGTGTCCCCGGATAGGCAGAGACTCTGAGGGAATAGGGGCTCAGCCTGGTTGGGCAGGGGCGTAGGTTGCCATGCCACCCCTGCTCTGCCCACTGCCCCTACCACCCCTTCCAGGTTCTACCAGGACACCTGGAGCCTTTCCCTGGAGCTAGATGGTAAAACAAACAGACAGACAGACCAACAAACAAACAAAAAACCCTCCTCCCTCTCCTGCAATGAGTGAAGGCTCCTGGGGCTGGGGAAGTACCCTATACAATCCTAGTACCTGGGTGCCCAGCAGCCCAGCCCCTGTTACAGTGACTTCTGGGCCAGGCCCCGGGTACAGCACCAGCAGCGCCAGCTCTGGGGGGCTTTCTCCAGGTGGAGGCTCCTGGAACCTCAGCGAGGGCATTGGCTCCCACGTCACTGCCAGCAGGACAACAGGAAAGGGAGACAGCTGAGCCCTGAGGCCTGAACCCTTTGCCCAAGCCTGTTCTGCAGGGAGGGAGAGCTCCATGCCACCTGGGAGCCATTGGCCATGGGTAGGAGTGGTTTGACACCCTTGAACACCAGGCGCAGGACCTTGCCAGGGCAGAGGTGGGACTGACAGGGTGGGTGGGTGGAGCTGCTGCCTGTCATCCCTGAAATCTTGAGGTCTCTGGTTTTGGGGATCTCCTGGCTGGAGGTTCACGTGTCACCTGGGCAGCCCCGCAGTTTATCTCAGGTCAGTGGCCCTTGGAACAGGCCCCTTTTACTTCAGGCTTCATGCTATGTGGGAGGGGCACTTCTCCCCTGGACATTTGGGATTGCTGGCCCCACCCCCACTGGCTCCTTCTTGGAGGGGGAACCTTCCCAGGCACTGCAGGAGGGGTGGTCTGGGAGTGGGGCATTTACTAGGGACTTCTAGGCCCAGACACGGCAAAAACAAGGGCACACACCTCCCAGGCTGTAGGGTCCCCAGCCCAAGGGAGCAGGAACATAGGTCTCAACTTCCCCAGGAGGCTGGGGAGGGGCCTGGGATCTTACTTGGGAGCACGGTCATCATATAATGGGAATGATGACTGGGGACCACAGCAGGGGGCCCTGCCCAGTCTCAGCCATGGGCCCCCACATACCTTCCTCCAGGTGTAGGACCACCAGCAGCTGCCCATGTGGCTCCCCCAGCCACGCTTGAAGCGACTGAAGAGGGGTCAAGGCAGTGTGCTCATGGCTGGGGGTGCAGACCCCAAAGGTGGCCAGGTCACGGGGCCCCCAGTGGGCCTGATGCAGGGCCTCCAGGAAGGCCTGCTCATAGCCCCTTAGGGCTCCCACCACCCGCAGGGGGGCGCTGCTGCCGTTGCCACTTCCACCCAGCGTCACCAGGCACAGGGAGTCTTGCTGGCTGCTTGGAGGCCAGACCCGGGGAGCTGGCCAGTCCCAGTCTTGGTTGAAGATGAGACCCCTAGTGCCTGCAGGGGACTCCCCAGGTAAAGCCTCTTCTCTGGGGGTCCCAGCCCTCAGCAGGGTCCCCCACAGCAGGAGGACCAGCCGAGAAAGAGGTGCAGCCCACATCCTGGGAACTGTGAAGGGCTGGGCCACCCTGCTTATATGGGCAGGCCCAGGGTGTTTGTGCTGGAAAACAGCCCCTATCGTCTCCCAGGACATGACCTTGGGGGCATGCGCCTGAGTGCCACTGCAATCCTGGGCCTTCTCAAAGCCCCTTCTGTCCCAGCCCGGCTGCCTATCTCCTTCCCACCAGTGATAGGAAGTACAGCCTGCGACCAATGTGTCCAACTGTCCTTGAGTTTTTCCCTCTGGAGATGGGAGTGGGAATGTGAGCAGGGAGTGACCAGCACAGATGGGCCAAACATCCACAGCTGTGGAGTTGGGCCTGGAGGAGGGCAGAGGGGTAGAACCCCTCCCTAAGGACGCCTGGGATCCGAATGGCACCAGGAGGGTGGTCTCCAGACGCAGCTGGGGCTCCCTAGTCTTCTGCTCACTCACTCTGCCCCTGGGGATCCGAGAGGCCACAGGAGCACAGGTATCTTGGCCTGGAGACACCAAGGACAGGGCATCCTCTGCTTTGTTCTCCTCCCACAAGACGAACCCCAGGCCCACGGCTCCAGGGCACAGCTGACACATTTGGCCACCTACCAGTGTTCTGGTGGGCCACAACGTCTTCAAGCCTGACCCGAACCACTCCCAAACATGGTGGAGGGGCTGCCAGAGTGCTCTGCCCACCCACAGACACAACAGTGCAACCAGATGCCTGGGGCAGCCGTTTAATGAGCTCCAGGGACATGGCACAGTCCCATACAAAAACACCCAACTTTGACAGGGAAAATACAGGAAAGCATGGGAGGAAACTTGTAGAGACAGGGGGCAGCTTTTCAGTTGGTTGGGGGAGGGGGTGGAATGTTCCCAGGGCCCTCCGAAGGCAGCGGGGGCCTCAGCATTGGGGGCATGGGAGCTGGGGGGTGGACCCCAGGATTGGAAGGGTGAACCCCAGGAGGCTGGGGGTGGACCCCAGGAGCTGGAGGATGAACTCCAGGAGGAGGGGGGTGGACCCCAGGAGGCTGGGGGTGGATCCCAGGGGCTTGGGGATGGACCCCTGGGGCCTGTGGGTGGACCGAAGCAGCTGGTGGGTGCACCCCTGGGGCCTGGGGGTGGACTCCAGCAGATGGAGGAGGGTGGACGCCTGGGGCTGCAGGATGGACTCCTGGAGCTGGAGGGTGAACCCCAGGAGCAGGGGGATGGACCCCAGATGATGGTGGGTGGACTACCGGTGCTGGGGGATGGACCCCAGGAGCTGGAGGGTGGACCCCAGATGTTGGAGGGTGGACCACTGGTGCTGGCGGGTGGACACCAGGAGCTGGGGGGGGCAGCTGGGGAGGGCCTGGGGGCCCTGAGGGCGCAGGCCCACTAGGCGGCATGGGGGGCAGAGGCAGGCCTCCTGGTGGAGGTGGAGGCAAAGACTCAGGCAGCGGTGGTCGTGGAGGCAAACCGTTCATCAGTGGGGGTGGTGGTCTTTTCACTCCAGGAGGCCCAGCGGGCAGGCTTGGTGGGGCAGGAGGCTTTTCCATCTTAAAGTGGAACTGAAGGAAGAACTGGAAAGAAACAGAAAATCTGAGTGGAGCCCCTTGGAGCTTTGGGTGAAGAGATAGGGCAGCCGACAAAAGGTCCTGGAATTGCCCAGGCCTAGAGTGACCTACCTGCTTAGTTTCCCGGTTCCAGTGAGTCCAAAACTTGCCCTCGGCTTTGTCAATCTCCCTGCTCGGCACCTGTGAAGGGGAGAGGGAGGGAACAAAGATGGACTTTAGGGACTCTCAGGGCCCAGGTTACGGCAGGGACTGCCCCTCGGTGTAAGAGCAAGCCCAGTGGGGGAGGATTTCGTGAGGGGATAGGGCTTGGTGTGGGGGCACCAGACATGGCTTACGGCACTCCTAGGATGGGCTGTGCAAGCTACCTTGAAGGCAATGGTCTCATAGGGCTCGGCGGCCATCAGCAGGTACTGCCAGCGGCGGTCCGGGGGCTCAATCCTCTGTTCATAGGCAGACATGAAGCGGTGGCGTGGCATGATGCCATCAGCAATCTCAGGATAGTCGATCTGGGGGGACACAGCTAAGTGGCAGCACTGCTTTCTAGGAGCCCCTCCCGTCATGACTGGGCCCCAGACCTCATCTCACCTGAAAGAGGAGGCTCTGCTGGCCCATCTCTGTGTCCCTCTGCTTGGTCACTGCAACACAGGAGGGTCTCAGGTCCAGCTCGTCACCCTCCCAAACCTCAAGACCCCAGGGAGGCCACCTGGCTGTAGGGCACCACAGGCCTAGGAGGGCTCTGTGCTGTAGGTACCACCTGCCTGAGACCATACAGGTGGTGGCAGGAGAATGGCTCTGTGTTACCCTCACCCAGGGCCTGGGACATCACTGAACAGGAACTGAGAAGAAGAGGCAACAGGTGTGGGGGGCAAGCGAGGCCTATACCCCTGCCTCCAGGAGAGGGCGCCCTCCGCATTAGAGCCCTGTGGCTTCCACGCTGTTCTCTCTGCACAGCTCTCAGGCACATCAAACTCCCCCATACGCCTTCCAGTTTCTCCCTCTACACTCATGACAGAGATCGACGGCCAATCACAGCCAAAAAGCCTTTGGTGGCCCCACGTACCATTGCAGCCCTGCACACTGTTCATAAGTAGGCCTGCCCAAGGGCCCCTGCACACTATGTCCTATCTGCAATGCCAGTTGCACACAGGACACCGCCACGTTTTGTTAGAACACAGTAACATGTAATTGGCTTTCTGAGCCAGGGAACGCAGAGCCCTCTTCCCCACTGACACACGCCCGTATCCTCCCACCCCGCTTTCCCTTTGGGTTAAGAGGAGCCAGGACCCAGTTCCAAGCTCACAGGAGAGGGGCATACCAGGCTTGCTGCCCTTCCCACACATCACTCATCTTCACTAGGAATGCAAAGAATCATTAGCTCCCACGACACACTGACAGGCGCACAGGGGACCCCGTGTCCACATGGTCACATCTGAGAAAGTTCATATTGGGAAGGTGGGGCCCAGGTGGGGTGAGTGGTCCCTGAGAACAGCGAGAGGCATGGGCAGGTGAAGGCCAGTGTGCGTCTGGCTCAGGGATGGGTCTGGGGTCCTGGCCAAAAGGTTCACTCCTGCCTGTGCCAGTTTTGGCCAGCCTACCTCCAGACAGACTTACCTTTGTAGCCTGGGCGGCCAATCTTCACAAACTTCTTCACTTCTACCTTGACCTTCTCTGGCGCCGGCTGGGCAGGGGCCTCCTTGGCCTCCTTGGCTGCTCGCCGGGCCCTGCAGGCAGGATGGACATAGCACTGCAGCCCCTTCACTCACTTGCGGGAGTGCGCGCGCGCACACACACATACACAGCCAAGGCCACAGCCCAGGTGCTAGGAGTCATCCTGCCCCCGCACTGACCTTGAAGAGCCTCTGCTAAGTGAGGGAGTTGGGGAGTAGGGTCAGATGAGGGGCCCGGGGTTGAATGGAAATGGATGGGACAGGCACGGGCACCTTTCTCTTTTTGTTACATTCCCCCCATGCCATCCCCTATTAGGGAGCCCTCCAAGAACTCCCACCTCTCTCTACTCACAGAATCCTCACTCTTCCCAGGTGAGGAGCATGTCCTGCTCCTCCCCTCACACCTGAACAGCCACACCCATCTACCCACCCACCACACTGGGCAGGGCTCAATGCCCTGACCCCAGGCCAGGCTGGCCCCAGACCACCTCTGCATCATCATCTGGCACAGCTCACAGAGGTGTCAGAGAAGTGCCAGCTCCTGACCTGGGACCTGAGGCTTTGAGCTGAGTGTGGGGGTGACATACTCACAAGTTGGTCTGGTGCTTTTTCCCCTGGGTGTGTGCGAGGTAGCTCCCCTAGAGTGGGAAGGGACACAGTTTAAGACAAAGTGAGCAGGGATGGGGGCTGGACGCCCCTTGACCAGACCTGCTCTCCTTTCTTCCTGCTGGGAGCAGGACCCATTGTCTAGAGTGCAGAAGGGAGAGACCCTGACATGCGGACTGTTCAAAGGCACACCGTCCGTGGCTGTGTGCGTGACACCACGGGGAAAGGACGAACAGGGCCTGTTTGGTGCTGCACAGTGAGCCCGATGTGAGCACCTGTCAGGAATGATCTCACGTTGTTAAAGGAAATGACCTGGAGCCACACCACTGGGCCTCAAAACCCAACGTCGAATGCTCTGTGGTGTGCCCCATGCTTACAGATGTGTATCTGCACAACAACGGTATTAAAGAAAAACGGACAAGCAGCAAATTACAGCACTGGTGGCCTCTGGGGGGGGGGGGGGGAGGCTGGGCATGCAGGATGAAGGCTGGGGACAGAGGGGACTCAGCCTTCATTTGGAGTGACCTCCTAGAGAGACGCATTTGAAGTTGCGCTCAGTGAAGAAGTTCAGGAGTGAGTGGCAGGCCCCTATCAGAGCACCTTCGCCCCTGGCCACGTTCTGAATGACAGGTCAGATTAACAAGACAAGATCCTGGAGGACAGGTGGGAGCAGTGCATCTTGCCAGAGAGGTTGTCCGTAGGGACAGGGAGGGGACGCGTAAAAATCAGACACTGAGAACTCACCTCATTATTGTGAAGCGTCAGGCACAGCTTGCATTCATATGAGCCCAAATGATTCTTCATGAAGTAAGGGTCCTGGGAAAGAGGCAGTCCATTAGAGCAAGGAAGACAGAACCATGTGGCCCTGCCCGATGGGAACAGTGTTTGAGAAGCAGGGCTGCTCCCTGGCTGTTGAGGGGTGGCTGCTCTCCTCTGGGGCAGGGGTTCTGGGACAGAGGATTAGAAGCAGCCTGGGGCTGGCTCAGCAAGAGCCTGTTAGGGCAGTACTGCGGGACCACCTGACTCCACTCCGCAGAGGTAGGGGCTGACTTTGTACCTGTAACAGCTCCTAGGATGGGGGGTGACACTGCTGGTCCCTGGACCACATTCTGGGCAGCAGGGACTCTGGGGAGTCCCTGGTCCTACACTGGTAGCAGTTTTGGATCTGGAAGGACACAGGGCCCAACGAGCACTGCTG